TTTTTGTTTGTTTGTTTCTTCAATATTAATATATTCTAGTTCATTTTGTTAAAGACATACACTTTAACTTAATCCAATTTCAGCATTCCCACCTTCCATTTGCTTTCCAGCCAACTGAAATGTAGGCAAACCTTACTTGAAAACAGGTCCATTTTCTTGCCTTTGAAGTTTTTTGAATTTGATAGGAAAAAAAGACATTGCAGAAAGTAAAGTCTGACTAAAACATTATAGCTTTAATTTGTAGAAAAGCATTATGGTCTGCCAAGTGTGTGAGATATTTCTAAAAATTTTGCTTTAATTCCGATATCAGCCAACATAAAAAAACATGCTACACAGCACCATTATTTGGATAGCAAGACCTTGGTGCCCAAAACAAAAACATCAGGGTCGAGGGCTTTTTACTGGATGTCAAAGATTGGCATCAAAACTTGAATATCACGCAAGAGGTATACAACAAGATAAAATAAAATATGGAATGTTTTCTTGAAATTGTGTTAAAATTATTTGACAAATAATGAACTTTGTTTTCTTGTTATCTTTGTTTGCACAATAAAATACTGTGCAGATAAATAAATTTTATAGAAGGATGTATGATATGGTATATATGGATATTTAGACGAGGAAATTAAGTAAGAAGAACAAAAATAAAAAGTTAGGAGAGCATTTAAGACCAGTATATAAATGAATCAACATATATTGGTTTTTAGTAATAGCTAGATTTTTAAGAGAGATATGTCTGTTTAAAAAAACAATTAAAAAGTTAAACATAACCAAGCATAGGACTGTGTGAGCATAATTTTAATACAGTTTCAAATCAAGTTGCCACTTTTTGCCTAAATACACTAGCAGACTCATCTTTAAAAAAATGAAATCTAGACTTCCTGGAATGATTTATTTCAACCCACAACTGATTAATTTGATAATGCATATTTTATTAATTTATTTTTACCAAACATTATTTACAGAGCTGTAATTATTGTGTATATATAGATCTGTGATTATTGTGTAAACAAGTGGTGATAAACACTGCTGGTGGGTACAAGAAGTTTGTTACATTGTCATTGTCACTTATTTCCAAGCACACCTGTGAACCAAACTTCATGAGTTATATATTTCATCAACACCTAGAGAGCTTGAAAGAGGTGACACATCAAGAAAAGCTGACTTCAAAATCAGGAAGAATGTCTGCCTACTCAAAAACTGCCATTAGCTTAAGCTTAGAACATGAATGTTGGCAAATTGCCTGTTTACAGATGCTTTTCAAATGTAACTGAGAAATTTTAATACAAACTGTTATTTCCTTTCTATTAAAACTTGCTTCAGATAGTAATTATTTACATTATTTACATTATCATGCCAGCTTGTAAGACTTACTTCGACCTTGACTATAAGATGAAACTGATGCACCGTATCATGTGAAATAAAGGATTAACAGATGAATGAAACTTCAGGCATTAAATAATAGAAGCATGAGATGTTAAATAAAAGGTGCTGATACAAGCTATTATTACTTGAGATTCATTTATTTTAGAATTATTTCTAACTATAGGAATGGATCCTCATTTTATGGGATTCTTAAAATCCAGAGTCAGATACACATTGCCTGAATGGCACTGTATATAACTGATTTTTTAGATTCTTGCCTTGATCAGTCCTCTAATATTATGTCCAATTCTTAAATAACATGAGGTTTAAGATTGGTAATTTTCATATCTTCTTGTGAACAAGTTGAGTTAGCTGTGCTGTAATGTCTTTATAGTTTGTAGTTCAGTCTGACTTACAAGTGAGAGCATATGATAATGTTTAAAGAAATATCAGAAAATCTTTACCATATTTTTTTTGAGAATCACCCTCGCACAAAATTGTCCATGTAAGCATCAGTTAAACAATAATGGCTCATACAAGTATGAATTAGAATAATTGAGTTAAAGATAATTTGCATAAGTCAAAAAAAGTTTAATATTAAAGTAGTTTGAAATTTTTTTTAATGAAACATATGAAGTCCTTTTTTTTTACATTTTTTTTTTACAGCAGATCTTCATGAAATAGATGGCGGCTCAAAACCTAAGACCTAAAGTGGTGGAATTATATAAAACAGTAAGTATAAATGTTTATGCTTACATTTGGTTGAATGCATGCTTTAAATACAGGCTAACAGGTAAAAAAAGTTTTAATTGATAAGAAGTCTTAGTGTTGATACTTCATTTGGGAAGTATCACAATTCATCTTTTTATCAATAGAATGGGAAATAATTATTTTGGAGAAAATGAATGATGTTTCTTAAATATTGCTAAATGTGATACACCATTCTGATATTCTCTCTTGTTAAAACCAGTTTGTGTCCTTTTGGAAACAGACATCTATCACTAACATATTAGTAAAATAATTTAGAATGGATATGAATATTTATACACAAAGGAAAATATATAAAAAAATCTAGTTAACTCTACATTTTTTACATTTTTTTTTAGAATATATTTGTGAAGTCAGTAATGATTGT